AGCAAAACGTTTCTTGAAACTTTTGAACAGTCCTGTTCATTGACTTGGAGACTTTTACATTCTCAGCGTTTGGCAGCCTTTTATTTTATAATTTAATTGTGTTGTTGGACTTTCGACTGGCTTCCTGTCTCACTCAGGATTACAAGATGTCCCTCCTTACCCACTGGTGCATCCATGGTGAAACCCCCCCCAAAACCCCAAGGAACTCTTCACCCCACAAACCTCCACACCTACCCTCCGATCTGCCTCAGCATTATGTGCACCTACATTAATGATGCTTGGTGCTCAACCACAGCCAAAGGGGATGGACAATGTTTATTAGATGTGGATTTTTTTATTTTTAATGTTGAGATGTTGGCCATCTGCCCAGAGAATTCACAAGTGTTTTTGCAAATTTAAAAAGTCTTCAAGTCAATCAAGTCTGTGTATTGAACCTCCCAGGAAACACACCTGCACAGGTGAGTGTGAATGTCTTGTGAAAGTCTTCTCCACATCTCTCTGTTCAACAGTGTGTTTTTTATTTCTTATTTTGTCATCAAAATGTGCTCATATCGTCTTTAACTTAACAGACGTCCCAAAGTGACGACCTCTCCACATAAAATAAAATTCTCATTTTTATTCATATCTTCATCTTTATGATCTCTGAAGGCTCCTGCTACACAGTCTTCATATTTCTATTGTGGTTATTATGTTAGTTATGAGGATATTTCACAGCAAAATGTGTGAAAAAAAATACTTCAAGTACAAGCAAAGTGAAATTCTTATAAAATAAGCAACTTATTTACTAAGTAATTCAACATGATTATGAAATCAGCTAAAACCTTAATTTAAAAAATGAAGTAAATTCCTAACTTACAAAATTAATGATTATGAAATACACAAAATGTTTTACAAAAACGTATTCTTGCTCCCATTTCTGTAATTCTGATGATTTTTAGTCAGATCTGAGCTAAATGTGCTCCTGCTGCCAAACCATCGAGGGAACAAATGTTTTCAAGGTCCTGGAGGAGGAAGTCTTTCTCTCTACAAGGGGGCACTAAAGGAAAGTCCGACAATTCATGCTCGCTAACCAGATGAAACTGGAGTCAAACAGCCTCTGATTTTTAACATTGTACTTTGTCTGCTTGCTACATGACTTTGATCACTGTGTTACTGTATTTTTCTTCAAACTGCACCAAATTATTGTCACCAATCCTCGATACATCCAGATCTACAGATCCAGCAGCAGGTGGCTCTGTGACACGTTTGTGACACGTGTTGTCTCAGGATTCCTGTTCTTCACTTGTCACCAATTGTGATTTGCGCATCAAATATTGTGTAACCAAATTCAGAGAATCTGTGCCAATGCTTCACTGTTATTTTATTTTATTTATAACAGTAGTCTACTCTGCTAACATTGTTTCAGATCGGCCTGGGTCGGTGTGGATTTTGCCAAATAAATATCAACTTATTTGTACTTAAACCAAGTCCAAAATGATTATTCCCCTTGAAATTTTTGCAAAACTTTGAGAAAATGCAAGTTTCTATACCATTTGAAATTGTCTTGCAAGTTCTACCATGAGAGAGCATTCTAATCACCTATAAATCATCTATAAATTGGGAACAGCTGAAGAAGTAGTTCTCTAGTCAGTTACTAGTCAACTGCAAGTCATGGCTGAAACGAAAGAGTTTACTGAGGACCTCCGGTAGCGCTTTATGGCTGCTTACAAGACAGGGGAAGGCTATATAATCATTTCCAAGTGTTTTCAGGTGCCAGTGACCAAAGTGTGAAAAACCTCAAAGCGTGTGGTAAGAAGCCAAAAGTGACCCATGACCTAGCAAGAATAGTGTGAGAGGCCAAGAAGAATCACCAGCACAAAGGATCGCCACAAAGGCTATCCTGATGAATCTGAGCAACTCTGGTACCAACATCTCAAGGCAGACAATCCAGCAGACACTGCACAAGGCTGGTCTCTTTGGATGCCGACCAAGGAGGACTCCACTTCTCCAAGACACAAAAGCTCACCTGGATAAAGAAGAAAGCTTTTGGTCAGTTCTGTGGTCGGATGAGATGAAGATTTAGTTGTTTGGACACAGGGACGTGGCTTTTGTTTGGTGAAAGAAAGGAAATGCATTCAACCCCAAGAATACCATCCCCACAGTCAAGCATGTTGGTGGGAATGTAATGCTTTCGAGGTGTTTTTCAGCCTTTGGGCATCAAGAATCAGAGTGTGGGGGCTGGAACACAGAAGACTCTGTCCCCAAAAGGCTGTAGTCTGGAATGGGGGATAGCAAGCAGATCCTTGTCGCAACACGGCAGAGACGTTTTTGGATATGCAGGTGGATAAAATCAGTAAGGTATTGTGGTGCAAGTCCATGGAGGAATATATAGGTGATGAGGAGGATTTTGTAAGTGATGCGAGACTGGCAACCAGTGAAGCAGCATTAGGGTCGGGGTGATGTGCTGCCAGGATTTAGTGCGTGTTAAAACTGTAGCAGCTGAGTTATTGGAGCCCGTAGAGGGCTTTGCAGGGCACACCGAACAGAATACCTCTGCAGTAATCAAGACAGGGTGTGATGAAAAAGTGGATAAGAGTCTCAGCTAAAGAATCAGCGAGTGAGGGCCGGAGCCTGGAAATGTTTTTGAGATGGTAGAAGGCAGATTTGGTTTGTTTTTAATGTGAGACTAGAATGAAAGGGTGAGTCCAGGTTGACTCCCGGATTTCAGACTTCAGGGAATGCGGAAAGGGAGCAGCCATCTACCTCCAGGAGGACGTCACAGACCTTCTTCAGCAGTGACGCTGGAGCCACCACCATGAGTTCAGTTTTATTGTTGTTTTAGTTTAAGGAATTTAGCAGGTGTCCAAGTCTTTGTGTCTCGCAGGCAGTTAACAAGTGGCAATGGTGGGAGCTGTGCTGAGGGTTGGTTGCTGATGTACAGCTGGGTTTCATCAGCATAGTAGTGGAAATTAAGTCCATGTAATCTGGCCAAGGGGTAGCATGTAGATATTGAAAAGAAGGGGTCCATCAAGTACAGATCCCTGGGGCACACCATTTTAACTGGTGCCAGCGTGGAGCTGAAGTCTTTGAAGGTGATATTTCGTTTCCTGTTGAAGGGATGGGACAGGAACCAGGGGCCGTATTACAGAAAGTTCCTATCTTAAGTCTTAAGTTAAAGGAGACCTATTATGCTTTTCCACATTTTATGACTTATCTACAATGTTACAATGTTGGATGTTTATGTTAAACATGGCCAAAGCTTAAAAAAATGAGGTTAAAGTATTTAAAAGAAATCCCTGTGAGCAAAAACCTCAGATTTCCTCCTGTTCTGAACGCTCTGTTTTGAACTCTTTTTCTATCAAGAGCTCCGTTCCACATATGGGCATAGCAATGGCAAAGCAACGGCTCAGTCTGCCTGTTCTGCCCGGCAACAACAACAGCCTGGTAACATGCTTCAGGCTTGGCCAATCAGAAGACAGCGGGCTTTGAGGTGGGGGGGGGCTTCCAGAGACAGCAGTATTTGCAGCTTGTTTCAGACAGAGGCTGAAATGAAGGCCTTCATGGAGAGAAAATAAAATTTCTTTTTGAACTTTGAATCATTTAAAGCTGCCATGCAGGAGTCACAGAACTTCAATATAGGACTGGAAAAGAAGTTTAATAGGTGTCTTTTAAGACAGGAAGAGTCTAAGATAGGATTTTTCTCAATTTGGTATTACAGAAGCAAATCCTAACTAACTTTCGGAATCCTGTCTTATCTTACTTCATCTTATCCAGGTTAGGAAATCCTAAATACTCGATCCAACATCGGTTATCAACTTTTATGCCTGTTACCTAGCAACCAATGCTTATTTAATAATTTCGCCGAGCTAAACGGCTTTTTTTGCTGTTTTTTGTTAGTTTTTTTTTCTGAAACGTACACTGAAAATGGAGCGGAAACAAAATCTATCATGAACTTCAAGTCAGATGCATTGGAGGTGTTTGTGACCTCCGTCGAGAAATCCATTGACTTAGTAAATGTCATCTGTAATGGCCTTTTTCCTAAATAAGTTCCTAACCCTTATTACCATGGTTTCCAAGCAGTAAGGATAGGATCTACCGGTTAGGAAGTTTCTGTAATATGGCCCCAGGAGAGCGCTATGCCAGTAAGGCCAATAAGTTCAGAGAGGCTGTAAAGAAGGAGGGTGTGTAAGATAATGTCGAAGGCTGCAGAGATGTCAAGGAGGATGAGGATACTGATGAGACCGCTGTCCATTGCAATGAGAAGGTCATTTGTGATGTTGATGAGAGCAGTTTGGTGCTGTGATGCAAACCAAACTGAAGTTCAAATAGTTATTGTGGAACATATGGTGTTGGGCAGCCACAGCTCTTTCCATGATTTTATTGAGGAAAGGTAGATTAAAGATTGGGCGGTAATTGTTTGGGTCATCTGGGTCCAGACTGTTGGGCACTGATAATGCCAACTATGGTGCAACAGAGGGTGGGAAGACATGACATTTTCAGTACAAATTAAAAAAAATGACAACATAGAAAAAGTTAAGATTTATCATTAACATCTGACACAATATCTTGCTGTCTTTGTCATTTGTTTATGTCATTGCCAGACTAATGAAACCTTGGTAAATTGAAAATTTTCTAGTATCAAAATTTGGCATGGGTATGAGTAAATTTCTTTTAACAGTATTTGTGAGGACTTTTAAAAATTAACGTCTTCAGTAGGAACCAATGGCCTTGGAGCTGAGAGCCAAAGACAGGAAGTCTGAAAAGACTGGCAAGTTGTTGGTTTTGCTCTGTTCATGTTGAGAGTAATAAAAACAGAGTTTATAATGTAATCTAATAATCCAACCGTATTGTTTAAAGGGAACATCAGTATAAAAGTGTAAAATCCTTGACTGAGCTGATGGGGGGTTGTGAGGCAGCTGAGATGAGCTCCTTGGAGGTCCTACTCTGCTCCCTGAGCTCCTTCCTCTTCAGTCGACCCTCCTTCAGCTGCAGAAACACCCACGTTATAATAATCCAGCTCAATGTCCTCCTGCCTGCCCGGCTTCTGCCCCCTGCTGGCCTGGAGAGACATGACACAACATGAGAGTTAGTGCATCACTCCTCCTCTTCTTCAGGTCAGTAAACACAGACCGAGTGCTTCATCTCAGTCCTCTAAACAACAGACATGTGTCAGTACCTTATAGTAGAAACAAAGGGCAGCGATCACCAACAGCAGAGTCAGCGGCAGGACGACCACTTTGATGAGAAGACCTGTTGGATCTGACAAACACATGGACAGTCATCACATCACACAACATCATGAGTCCATCAGCTCCTGTTAAACACAAACTGTAGTGACCGGAAATCTCCCAAACCACTTCAGTCCATCAGTAATCCTATCACAGATATCTGAATGCAGAATCTGGAGGCAAGAGACAAGGTTTGGTATAGGAAGCAATCTGGTTTCGGCTTGTAGTCCAGGTAGTATCGACCAATCACGTTTAAGCAGGCTTTGGCTTGGTGTGTGATTCTGGCCTGTAGGAAAAAACTGGACTTGGGTGAGATTTTATATGTGGGCTGACGTGGTAGTTTTCCTACCAAACTATAACTCAGGCCTCTGCATCTCGGAGTGGGAGTTAAACATGCCCAGGTATCGCGCCCTGACTCCTGTGAGCGCTGTATCCATGCTAATGACTCTGCAACAGAGCTTCAGGGTGTCGGTGGCTTCAAATACCAACCTCTGCCTTTCCCAACTGCAAAGCCCAGGGAGAAGACAGCTGTGGCTAGTGCTAGCTGGGAGGACATGGTGGAGGACCCTGATGCAGAGTTTACTGCTTAGTTTAGCTAGCTCCCTGTTTGGAAGGAGGAGGGTGAGAAACACATGCACAGCATTTAGAAAAGATGCTGCAAAGTGAGAAAACATCTACAGTGGTGTAAAAAAAGTGTTTGCCCCCTTCCTGATTTCTTTTGCATTTTTGCATGTTTGTCACACTGAAATGTTTCAGATCATCAACAAGTTGAAATATTAGACAAAGATAAACAAGTAAACACAAAATGCATTTTTAAATTAAGGTTTTTATTATTAAGGGGGAAAAAATCCTAACTTACATGGAGCCTGTGTGAAAAAGTGATTGCCCCCTAAACCTAATACCTGCTTGTGCTGCCCTTAGCAGCAACAACTGCAATGAAGCGTTTGCAATAACTGGCAGTTTTACAGCGCTGCGGAGGAACTTTGACCGACTCATCTTTGCAGAATTGTTGTAAGTCAGCCACATTGGAGGGTTTTCAAGCCATTCTTTTACCTGGATTCAAGTCCGGACTTTGACTAGGCCACTCCAAAGTCTTCATTTTGTTTTCATTAAGTCATTCAGAGGTGGATTTGCTGGTGTATTTTGGATCATTGTCCCGCTGCGGAACCCAAGTGCACTTCAGCTTGAGGTATCGAACAGATGGCCGGACATTCTCCTTCAGGATTTTTTGGGAGACAGCAGAATTCATGGTTCCATTTACCACAGACTCTCACTGTGGTTCGCTGAAGTCCCAAAGCTTTAGAAAAGGCTTTATAACCTTTTCCAGACTGATAAATCTCAATTACTCTGTTTCTCATTTGTTCCTGAATTTCTTTGGATCGCAGCATGATGTCTAGCTTTTGAGGATTTTTTGGTCTACTTCACTTTTCAGGCAGGTCCTATTTAAGTGATTTCTTGATTAAGAACAGGTGTGGCAGTAATCAGGCCTGGGTGTGGCTAGAAAAACTGAACTCTTTCCAAATATGTAATTAACCACAGGTGATTTGTTTGGGGGGAATCACTTTTTCACACAGGGCCATATAGGTTTGGATTTTTCCCCTTAATAATAAAAAAATCTTCATTTGGAAACTGCATTTTGTGTTTCCTTGTGTAACTTTGGCTAATATTTAAATTAGTTTGATGATCTAAAACATTTCAGGGTGACAAACATGCAAAATAATAATAAATCAAGAAGGGGGCTTTTTTTAAACCACTGTAAATACATAAATGCTGCAAGTAGCACAGAAGACAATTGAAACTGTTACCAGGGAAAACTAAAAAGTGACGAACACACTGGGCACGACAGGAAAACGCCACCAAAACGTACATGTTAGCTCAGGTCTCAGGGCCACCGTACCTGACATCAGTCACAGAGTCAGTCAGAAAACACAACATGCTTGGAAACAGCGATCGTGTTCAGTCAGTTTGGACGGATCATCTTTCCAAAGCTGCATGGAAACAGTCAGTGTGAGTTTCAGCTGCCTGCTTCACCTGAGACAGTGAGAGACAGCCGAGGCTCTCAGAGGAGAAGTCATGAGAAAAAACATGGAGGTGATAAACACAGCTGTAGCTTCCGGTGGGCGGGCTCTGCAGCAGGAAACAGGAAGTGGGCAGAGTGATTGACAGTTGGCTGGGTGTAGTTGTGTGATGTGATGAGGAGGTGAAGGCGAGCTGGAAGGAGCCTCCTGGGTACTGTGGCTGGATGGAGCAGCTGATGGTGAAGGTGGAGCCCCTGGACACCTGAAACCCCTGCTGCTGGGCCTTGGAGACCCCATCCATGGAGGAGGACACAGTGATGTTGGGCTGAACCAGCAGGTCTGTAAACACATAGATGATGAAAGGCTCATTCACCCTCTGTTCAACCAAGTGGCCCCTGAAAAAGGAAGTGATGTCACAGGTCTTACACGGGTAACAAACGGCAGAGCGATGATAGACTGTAAAAGGAGGGACCTCCCCGGTGTCATGTGTCTCGTCAGTGTTACAAGGTCTCAGGTGTGAATGGGAGCAGGTGTGTTAAATTTGGTGTATCGCTCTCACACTCCCTCATACTGGTCACTGGAAGTTCAACATGGCACCTCATGGCAAAGAACTCTCTGAGGATCTGAAACAAAGAACGGCTGCTCTACATGGCCGAGGCTAAGAAGACTGCCAAGACCCTGAAACTGAGCTGCTGCACGGTGGCCAAGACCACAGCGGTTCAACAAACAGGCCTCGCCATGGTCGACCAAAGAAGTTGAGCACACATGCTGAGCGTCATATCCAGAGATTTTCCTTGGGAAATAGAAGTATTTACATAATCTATGTTGTGTGTTGTGGGAACAGTTAAAAGGTCTTAGCCAGAAGACTCAGAGAGCGTGCGTGCACAGATCCTGGATGTAAGAGGGAGCTTGACCATGCGAGGCTCTGTAAGTAATGATTAAAATTTTAAAATGTACTCTAAAACCAATTGGAAGCCAATGAAGAGCCTTAAGCACAGGAGTAATTGTGATCTCCTTGGTTTAGAAAAAAACATTGCAGCTGCATTCTGTACAACTGCAGTTTTTCATGGAGGATTTGTATAATCAAGAGTAAAGTACATTGCAATAATCCAGACAAGAAAAATAAAAGCATGAACAAGCATCTCTCTTTCTTTGGAAACCACAGATCTAATCTTAGCGATGTTCCTGAGATGGAAAAACAGGAAATAACCACTATTTAACATGACACATAGATTTGCCAAAAATGACAAATTTTGCACAACATTACCGTCAGAGGGTGATAGAGCCCAATGGCCTGCTGATCTTAGGGGTAACGTGTCTGGGGCAAAAATCACCACCTCAGTTTTGTCTTTATTTAGTTGCAAGAAGTGTCAGCCATCCATTTGTTAATGGAGGCTAAGCAATTGTGCAACACATACAGATTGTCTAGCCTATGAGGACTAAAAGATAAATATAATGGATGTCATCAGCATACCAATGATAAGATATATCTTCAAAGTACCACTATCTTGCCAAGAGGAAGCATATACAGACTGAACAGCAGGGGAACCTTGAGGCACACCACAGGACAAAGGAGCAGAGTCTGAAAATATGTTCCTATGGACACAGAGAAACT